ACAGGACTTGAATTCTGAATTCAAATTTTTCAGACCCATTCTAGGAAATACTATAACTGAGTGCACCAGACACTCAGTTCCATTTTTCCATAGGTTCCTATGAGCCTGCTATTAAGTGGACTTTCCTTTTGAATAAGAAAAGTTTGTGAGGTATCAGTCATTAGTATCTATAAGCTATCCTTAGAGCTGAAGAGGTGAATCAGTGAAGATGTGTTAACAAAAAAAATTCGGAAGCCAGGAGTTTGAATGGAAAACGAAAAGCCAAATGCTACACTGAAACCTCCTTCACTGAATGGCTTCAACGACAAGGCAATAATCCACAGATTTAGAGAATGAAGGAATGGAAAAAGGTAAACGTTAGAAAAAGGTGCTTCAATCACATAGCTTTCATTCTTCCTTGCCTTTTGGAAAATACAAAGCTGTTTCTGTGTGCTACCAACCATGATGGTAGGAAAGGCTAATGAAATGGAAAATGAAATGATTTTTCTTTATTTAGTATTCTAGAATTACTCTAGAATTACACCAAAGACTCCCAAAGCTTCTATTTGATCTTAGGAAAAACACTTAATTTTTAAGAGCTTTTTCTTGATAGTGAAGATAAAAACATGGTTGCACTTACTAGCTCCACAGCAACTCTGAGACAGGGACAGTGTTTGTTAGTCAACTTGATCTTCACTGCCTTAGCACTCTGGGCAGTTTTTAATGCTCTCGACAGGTTCTCAGGCACCAACTCTAAATAGATTTCATTGTGCTCTGCAGCTACTCCTTCCATCTGAAATTCATCGAAGAAATTCCCCTAGAATTTTTGAAAGTTGCAAAATAAAATAAAGTGAAAAAAAAAAGGAGCGATTCTTTTTAACTTATCAGACCTTAAGCTTAGAACTGCATGTATGCAACAGGAAGCTTTCCTCTGCCTTGCATTATCTGCAGGAATCAAGACAGACTACATAAGCGTGAAGGCCTGTTGCTTCAGGATAAACCTATTAATTTCAGATCCTCCTCTAACACCTATCAGTCCTCAAAACAAAGGATATGACAGGTGGGTTACACCTTCCCATTTCCAGTTTCGGGCAGTCCCCTGTAGACCAGCACACACTGAAGCTTTACACTGAAGAAAGTGACAACCAAGATAAAGGGGATGTCTAGCCAGAAACATCAGGCCTGTGCAACCAAAATGCAGCCCTGCAAAACAAAGTGTCTTCAGTGACCAGACAGGGCTTGAGAGACCAGGAACATGTCAGGTGAGGGCTATGTGTACAAGAAACACCTCATACACTACCCCAACTGCACACTCTAGTTTTCAACAACATGTGGTTATTGAACCTCCTCGGGCTTACCTGGCACAGCTCACACCACATACTGACGCCACCATTTGCTACTTTATCAGAGAGGATGAAATACAGCTTGCTGACAGTAAGGCGCAGCGTGCAGGTCTTGGCTAACTTGGCGATTGTGTTAATTACACCTGGCAGAGGGAGAGAGACGTTACTGTCGTAACGGCTTCACACACCTTGGTCCAGGGGGACAGGGGAGAAATAGTCTGCCAAAATGCAGCTCATGCTGCTGCGGAAACTCCCGAACACCTCGGGACGAAAGAAAACGCCTCACGCTGCCGCCCCGCGGCC